AGGACCGAGCCCTCACACCAGTTGCGCCTCGGGCTCTGCAGACACCGGGGTGGGATCTCGCCGCGCGATCGCGCTCGGAATGGCACGCCGGGCTCCCCTCCCCTCTCTCCCCTCCCTCCCCACCCGTTTGCCGCACGTTCCGCTGTCGCCGCCTGGGCGAGAGCTCCCCCTCCCTGTGGCTCTGCTCAGTCGTTTCCAGAATGAATCCCTCCTCCCAAGCCTGGCGCTGGGGCAAACCCGCGCCTGCAGGGTTTCCCCAGTCCCCAGATGCGGAAAAGCGACCCGCCAGGACAAGGCCTCGGGACTGCGGCTGTCGCCGGCCGCGACTTTGCAGCCTCTATCCCAGAAAGGGAATTTTCTTTTTTCTTTTCTTTTTTTTTTGTTTGTTTAATGCAGTGAGCTCGATGTCTGTAGCGCGAGCTCCGAGACACACTGTATCTTGCACACTCACACCCGCACACACCCGTGCCCAAAACGGCAACCTCTCTAGCTCTAGTCCGTATTACCTCATCTTCGCCGATATCCTTAGCTGTCCGTCAAGGATGCCGAGCCACGCCCCCTGACTACTCAGGCCAGTGCCCTGGAGCTCCCACGCCCCCTGCTGGCCCAAAGCGAGGAGTGCCGGCCACTGGCCACAAGCTAGTCACTGCTCAATTCCAGCCTCTGCTGAGACCCAGTTCAAAGGGATGTAGCAATTTGAGAAATGATGGATTAATTCCATTTATGTACAGAACAAATGTGATTTTTCTGGCCTGCTTAGACGTTACTAGAATCAAGAAGACACATGCTAAATTGGTTTATTTTGCAGGCTTTTATGACCCAAGTAATGAGACACTAGGACAGACACAAGCTAGACTTGGTTAATTTGATCGTCAGCAGTTAACATGGAAAATAACCTAACAAAGGTGAGCTCTGCCTAACAAGGTAGATTGACATCGGGACTGCATATAAATCTTGCCAGAAAACCCAAACTTTGATTTGCTAAAGTTGCAGCCACATGAAACAATGAATTCATATGACCAAGATCCAGGATAGGATATGGAAAAATAAAAGATGATGTGTTAGGAACTGAGGTGATGAAACTTTCTGAAATAGTCATTTTCTTTCCTAGTATCACACGATTTCTTTTGTTTTGGAAGATTTGCTTTCCCTCTCCTTTTCTTGCTCTGTCTTGAATCACACCTCTCCTGTCTCCCATCTCTAGTACTTTCCAAATCTTTTTCATCTCTCTACCCTTACCTCTCTCCTCACCAAGTTCTAAGTACAAAATAAAAGAGAAAGGATCAGACCTGCTCTTCCAGCCTCCGAAAGCACCAGGCTCAAGGTTACCTCTTTGTTCTTGTTTGTTCCCTTGCCCAGAAATCTCCTCAGGATGACCTCCAGAGTCTCTAGCAAACCTCTCCCTGTGAGGCCAGTCTCCTAATCCAACTCAATCAACACCATTCGTTAAAACGCAGAATTTCAGGGTTTGAAGGACAAAAGGAAAAGGACTTAAGAATACCTCAGTGAATTCAGGAGCCATCATTATTCCCATTTTATACATGACAAGGCTTAGGGAATTTGAGCCATTTGCCCCAGTTACGTATTTAGGAAGGAGAGAGGAAACTGGTATTCAAAATGTAGTTGGGTTAAAAAAAACCCAAACCAAAAACCAAAAAAAAAAAAAACAAGAAAACACCAAATACCTTGTTCTATAACACAAGTTACATGACAAAGAGGTGGTGCAGTAAGAGGCAAGGTATGCGACAATGTGAAAGTGCCTCACCGTGAGGGAAAGGGAGGGAGAAACGAGGATGCAGAGTTCTGGAAGGACCGAAGTAGAATCAAAGAAAAGGTAATGTACATTTGTATTGAGCTATTTTTACTTCCAATCATGATCAAGAGTTTGAAAGCTCTAGAAACTTTCTTGTGGTCTGGGAAGGTACAGATCCAGAAACTATCAGCAAAGATTTAAGGGGGATGCTGAAAGTGTCGGGGAGGAAAACAGCATCCCACCAGCAGAACCAGAAATTCCCAGGAAGAAAAAGCCTAAACCTGGTAAGAGAGGAATTAACAAATGTTGGAGATGCCTGGGAGGCAGGAAGACGCTGGCTTCTGTCTAAGTCCAGCCTGCTTTTGTATCTGTTCTTCCTGTATCTGCTGCGTCAAACATGGCAGAGTGTTAAAGCAGAACAAAAATGCCTAATGCCCTGTGAGGGGGTTTGTATATAGCCTGATTAATTTGTAAAATGAAGCAGGGCCTTTATTTTTCCCCACAAATCTGTAATCTGGGGAGGCCTTGATGAGGACATCTGGTCTCTGCTCCACATGGAGCTCAAGGCAGCTTGAAGGATGGCTGGGGCTGAAATCGTCTGTAGACTTGCTCATTCACATGTCTAGTGGCTTGATGCTGGCTGTCAGCTGGGGCTACCAGCCCAAGCACCTCTCCATGGGCTTTTTGCTAATTGGTTTCTTCACAGCATAAAGACTGGGTTCCAAATGAGTATGACACAGAAGAGTCAGAAGGAAGCTGTGTTGCCTTTTTTTAAAATTAAGTTTTTCATTTTGAAATAATTGTAGATTCACACGCAACTGTAAAAAATAAGACGGAGAGAACCCACGTGCCCTTTTCCCCATGTTACCCAATTTTAACATCTTATAAAACTAACCTTACAAAACTGTAGTGCAGTATCACCCCCTGATATTGACACAATCAGGATATAGAATAGTTACAATTCTTCTTTACTCATACAATATATCATATATTGTGCAATATACATTTTGTATACAAAAGTATATAATATACATTTCTATTACCATAAATTCCATGATGTTGACTTTTTATAGTCACATCCAGTTCTCGCCTCTACTATCCTGTCCTTAACCCTGGCAATCACTAATATGCTCGCTCTCTCTACGATTTTTTCAACTCAAATGTTATTTAAATGAATCATAAAGTGTGTAACCTTTGGGGTTTGGTTTTTCCCACTCAGCCTAATTCTCTACACATTTATCTAGATTGTTGTCTGTATCAAGAGCTTCCTTTTTATTGCTAAATAGTATTTCATGGTCTGATTGTACCATCCAAGGCCAAAGGGGTGTTTCTAGTTTGGGCTGTTGTGAATAAAGCTGCTATGAACCTTCATGTACTGGTTTCTGTGTGAACATAGTTTCCATTTCTTTGTGATAAATGCCTGCCAGTATAATTGCAAGGTCATATATTTAACTTTTTTTTTTTAACTGCCAGTTGTCCGGAGTGGTTTTACCATGCTGTATTTTTACCAGCAATGTACAAGTGATCCAGACTCTATTTTCTCACCAGAATTTGATGTGGACATCATTTAAAAAATTTAGCCATCCTGGTAGATACGGAGCACTATCTCACTGTGCTTTTAATTTGTGTTTCCTCAAGGATGTTTAACATCTCTCCACGTGATTATTTGCCATCTATATATCCTCTTTGATAAAATGTTTGTTCATACCTTCTATCATTAAATTTTTTTTTCAACATAGTACTGGAAATTCTAAGTACTGTTGAGGTTTGACAATTCTAAGTATTGCTGAAGTTTGAGATTTCTTTATACATTCCAGATAATAATCCTTTGCTAGATATGTCGTTTGCAAGTATTTTCCCTCACTCCATAGCTTGTCTTTACACCCTTTTCACGAGTTCTTTCATAAAGAAACACTTTTAATTTTGATGAAGTTAAACTTACCAAATTTTCTTTTTGTGGTCTCTATTTTCCATGTCAATTCTAAGAACTTTTTCATTAGCCTTAGGATTTGAATATTTCTCCAAAAAGTCTTACAGTTGTACAATTTATATTTAAATCTATGATCCATTTTGAGTTGATTTTTATATAAGGAGTCAGATTTGGGTTGATCTTTCTTCTTCTTTTTTGACCTATGGATGTCCAGTTGCTCCAGCACTATTTGTTGAAATGATTATTCTTCCTCCTTTGAATTGCTTTTACATCTTCCCAAAAATCAGTTGGGCATATTTCTGTGGGTCTAGTTCTAGCTTCTCTATCCTTTTCCACGGATCTTTGTGTCTCTTCTTCCACCAACGCCACATTTAAGCTGTATAATGTCTTTTTATAAATTTGGTAGACTTGTTCCTCCCACTTTGTTCTTCTTTTTCAAAATTGTTTTAGCCATTCTAGTTCCTTTGATTTTCATATAAACATTAGAATCATCTTGTCCATATGTGCAAAAATACCTGCTAGGGTTTTGACAGGAATTGCATTGGAGGTGTACATCGATTTGGGAAAAAAATGACATCTTTTTACTATGTTGAGACTTCAGTTCTATGAACATGGTATGCTTAGCCATTTAGATCTTTGATTTGTTATGTCAGAGTTTTGTAGCTTTCAGCAGACATGTCCAGTACAGATTTTGTTTAATTTATACCTAAATATTTTATGTTTTTGGAGTGATTGTAAATGGCATTGTACTTTTTAGTGTCCACATGTATATTGCCATGTAGAAATGGTATGTATTTTTGTATGTTGATCTAGTATCTTGTGACTTTGCA